GCACCAAATCATGAGTCAGTCACCTGTGACCTCGCCTCTTCACCTCTGTCTGAGCTACAACATGGCAGAGCTGCCTCTGTCACCTGATGAATAACAGTGAGACATTCCAAATACATGCAGTCACACATGTGCTTCAAATACAGTCATTGAACCACCAAGTCATCATCCAATTTCACCTGTGATCTTGTATCACCGTTGCTCTCTGAGCTTTGTGTTGGTTCTTCTGTCACCTGACAAATAGGACATACATGACAATAAGAATAAAATGGGGCGCTGCTTCAGTGTTTCTGTCACTTTGTGCAGATCTTGACTCATCAGTAATGTTTGTAGCGTGAGTGCATTTTTAAAACAATTTGTGCAAACTGCACTACAAGGTGGAACATTTGCAAAATCATGACTACCTCATGATATTTTGTCTCAAAGATTAACCCTATGAATATGTCAGTGCCATTAGGATGAAATTATTGTGTCACCAACATTTTAACGTTAGACATATAATTTTAACAGCCTCTGTAAACTAATATCCTGGCTTACTCGAGGCTGCCGTTTTCTCTGACAGTTTCAATCAAGATTAGAAATGCTGCTCTGAGACTGAGAGAACTAATAGTGCTGCCTGTTGTGCAGTTAGTTTCCAAAACACGTTATTCATGGTTACATACAATTTTAGACTGATGTGGGCCAAAGCCTAGCATAGCCTGTAACGTTATTGTGACGGACACATTTCATGGGTTTACTTGGCTTTAAGTGACTTGCAGGTTTCTTTGAAAAATACTTTCTTATATCCAGGTTCTTCCTTTGTGCTGCCATCCTCCAGCGCAGGCTTGCCGCTGCTAAAACTAAACAGAACTCCCTGAAAGGCTCAGCCAATCACATTGGCCATATTTGTCACATGAGGTAGGACTCCAGTAGAGAACGTAATTTATCTCTTTCTGCACCGCTGGGTGAATGAGACGTTGAAAGATCGTTTTTTTCTCTCTATCGGGTTTGTTTTTCTTTACTTGAAGAGATCAAATTATTGGTGGGGACAATTCATTAATCGCTGGATATTAGTGGGGACATGTCCCTTCGGTCCATGCCAAATCTACGCCTTTGTCTATACCAGATGGGAACCCTATTAAGTGAATGCATCAAAATCAACCAGCATCCTATTACTATCTCATTCATGCTTCCTTTAATAGGCAAATAAGACATACTTTATTTTTGAAGATAAAGCCATATGGTTCTATTACATTAAGGGACAAATCTGTGTTTGAGCAGTGCAAAACTTTTTTCCAATCCTGTCCTGTTTTCTCTTTGCACTATAACTTAAGGAGCCCTTGGCAAAACACTTGGCTGAGATGCGTGGAGAGGTACTAAAAAAGTAATAAAGAGAAAGATTGAATGCATGGATTTAGGTGGGTGAATGGATACCACCACAGTTCAGTAATAATGTGGTAATTATGGGGTGGTAACAAGAAGATAATATTGTGGAAATAGGAAGGTATTACCACCTAATATTTTTGCCCGTGTTATGGCAAAATGCCCGAGTAATGAAATCCGCTGGCTCTGATTGGCTGAGCCTACAATGCCCACAATGCCTTCCGAATCATGTGACAACCCCTTGGTTGTTGTTCTAGATAGCAATTAGCCTATAGCCTGTCGTTCAGCATCGCCTCAGTCAAAATGCGCGATGGGTGCTTCGTCTTACGAAAATTTTCGTTTTACGAAGACCCTCGGGAACAAATTAATTTCGTAAGTCGGGGTTCCACTGTAGGCATATTCATCATACTGTGAATTATGGGGTACGTGGGATAAAAAGAGGACACTATTTCTCAGTGAGTGCTCAGTTTTTAATAAGTTCTTTATTTTTGTCTTACTCAATTTATTAGTGAATTCAGAAATATATTTTAACTTTACAATGTGAAATACAATCATTTTAATCACGTGTAAGTAACAAAACCTCCTAAAACATCATCTTAGACAGTTATTTTGTCAAATCTGACTTACAGTCAGAAAAATTTGATGAGACTCCTTGACTCATAGGCACATATTTGTTTTACATTATTACTCACAGCTTCTGGAACAATGCAATATTACTCAGTTATAATCACTGTTGAAATAAGATCAAAGAACAAAGGATACTACTCACCCCATCTTCAGTCTAGCCTTGAGACTATTCAGTTAAATAATCAGACATTATGCCCTGAGACTCAGGTTTAATGAAGTCCATCATCATAATGTCAGAGACAGATTGTCTCCTGACTCTACCCAGATTTGAGATATTAAAGGTCCTTGGAAGTAGTTCCCAGGACCTCAAGTAATGAAAAAACATCTTCTGCTATCTGACACACATAGTCTGAAATTCAGTATTAATAACAGCATGCAAAAAGCAATGCTTTTTAAGATTAACTTTTTTGGTCTTTGTGCTTTTGATACTGAGAGCCAGGAAGAGAAAAGAAGAGAAGAATCAAACTTGGGCTGTAGTGTAACCACTTGTGTTCATGCACTATGAACACAAGATGCATTGGAAAATACTTTCTACACACTGATCAACATTTGCAGCTTGGAAAGAATAGATAATAATAATTTATTGTAAAAAATCGATCTTTCTATGCTCGTCATTTTATAGTTTAAACACTGAAAAACACTCGGAATAGAGATGTTCCAAAAGTGTTGAAATCTCTTGAATCACTGTTTAAACACTTTTTAAAGCAGCCTAAGGTTTTATCAGCTATAATTAACATCTCTTGTTAGCTTTTTTCTTTTTAAATGTCTATACATTGGTGGTGCTCTAAGAGCTTCACCACAAAATGAATGTAGCTCCTCTAGGCTCAGGGTTATGCACAATATGCTTTTTAGACTGAGAGCTCACAGTCAACATTTTCATTTGAATATGGGTTTTGAACTAGTAACAAAAAATGACACCAGCCCTCAAACTACACTAAATAGCTCTATATGCACCCATAACATCCCCTGAACAGCTAATGACAAATCATTGCTTAACATATACATACATGAGACATTACTGATGTCCGTCTTCTTTAACCTATAAGAGCCCAGACCCATTTTTACTGTCAGGAAAACTATGGGTGAGTCAGTTTTGAAACTTTAACAGAAACTTTCCTCAGTGTGTAAAGGGGCAGTGACACCTGCGTTACTGTTGGAGCCTGTGGATTATTTTTGCTGGTGACAGTACAGGGTTTTGTTTCCTCCCTAGGATTTCGCCTCTCTGTTTCTTCGGGTCGCCTCGTCTGGTTCGTTTCCTTCTGGAGGTTTTGGCAAACAGTACCAAATCGAGTGCGCTACCAGTGTGTGTTTCTTCACCTGCACGTCCTGGCTCCGCGTTCCCATTCACATTCTGTTGTAAATACACTGTCCATGAAAATTCGCCCTTCACTGTAAATAAATTTCCTTCATTGCAGCTCTGTGCCTGTAAAAAAATATTGAACAATGCACCTCCAAAATTGTTTTGTTTTGTTTTTACTCAAAACAGCTTTTGTGGTAAAAGTGATTTACAAAAATTGCCAATACAAACTTATACCATTCAGCCACAACAGTGTGTAATTTTGTGCTCCCCTCTTGCTAAAACAGCTCTGAGCAGTCGATGAATGAACGCCACGAGACCTCCTGGGTTGTCAGGCATGAAGACATTAACAGTTGTTTTGGTTTTTTGTTTTACTTTAAACTGGCACATCCCAAATCACAAATCAAGGGAATTTAATGACCACATCAAAACCATCAAATTTTTCTTATATTAGTCAACTTTCCCGAACATTGCAGTTGATATTGGAGCATAGTTTGCTGAAAGAGCCCATTGTCATTTCAGAATACCCTGCCATGAAACATACATGGTGTGCAACAATATTTAATCTTCTACTTACATTTTAGGATGTTACCTCTTTCCTCTAAATACACATTTAAAACTCTAACAAAACACAGCATGAATATAAAATTCGAGGTATACAAGTGCTAAATATTTAACATTGCTAGATGCTGCATTTCATCAAACTCCTTTACGTTAGACTGCACATTCACAGCCATTACTGAATGGGCTGTACAGTGATTTCCAACTTGCAGTTACAGTATTTCTTTCCAAAGTCTATCTCCCTGAAAAAAATCCAAACACCCCCGGCATACTAGCAATGTTAAATGTACAATTAACTTTTTATTAAGACATTTAATTGTGAATGCTACTCCTTCTCTTTACCCAATTTAACATCTTGACTTATTGCACTCGTTTGATTTTTTTCTTGTAACTGTTATGGCCGCTACTATTGCTGGTTTGAAGACTTAACTCTATAGTTTTCTATAGAGTTTGCCACTCTATGGTGGTAAAGTTATCACCACTTCCATTTAAGTTTGCACCTCTGTCGTTTCTCAGGTACTTTTATTGCATTACACTTTCTTGTGTTTCTGTGTAATTTTACAACTTTCTTTTATTTGTGCAAGTGCTGCAAAAGCATTCCCCTTGCACAGATTATTAAAGTTATCTCATTCTGAAGGACTTCAAAAAGCTTGCAGTCATAAGTGGCTGGTGTTTTTCAATTTCACTTCACTTTGTAACTGCTGTCAGTAACAATCAGTACAGACCAATCATAGCCCTTCCCCAGCACTCCTGAACACACTATTGTTATGACATTTTAAGAGAATGAGATATTGCACAAAATTATCCTTATAATTCCTCTTTTATTACAGTCTGACTCCAGAGCTCTGATAAGAGCATCCTTTAAATGTGCTTTCTAAGAAAGGATCATGAGTGTTTCTTTTCTCAGTAAAATATACAAACTCCCAGCTTCTGTAGATTTACTGTCATCTCTGATAGTTGCTCACATTTTCCAGAGACAGCCCTTTCTTACTGATCTATCATCTGTACTAGGCAGGCCAGAGTTAATGCTGGAGTCACGTTGAATCCACCTGGACTGGCAGACCGCCGCTTTCCAAGTCTCAGTAAAACCACCTCTTTCTTTTTCACTGATCTCCTGGATGGGGACCTTAGGGTTTTATGATTATATAACCAATTGTCAGCCATCACGGTGAGCCACTAGTGAGACTACAACAGGTTTATTGTCTGAAGAAGGGGCTTTTGTGATATCGATAGTAGGTTCACATGAGAGCCCCAGTCGGGGGACTGTAGCAGCTGGTTGACCCAATGAGGCTACCATAAATAGGAATTCGTTAGTACGGCGGGGACCAGTTCCTGCTATTCCCCTCATGGCCTTGGTGGGGACCTTGGAGGAACTCTTTAAGCTGGAGCCTCTTCGAGGAGCTTCACACTGCAGCAGGGCTTGGAAGCACCTGTAAAACTGAGGCAAGCATACAGCACAAACATATGGTCAAGCTTCTTTTAAACTACACAGTTATATGCAAGAGACCACAGAGGACAAAACTTTATGAACTAAACACTTAGTTCTAATGTTTCTAGGCTGCATTTTATACCTTTTTCTAATATTGCTTTAAGGACAATACCAGCTTGATGCATTTTTAGCAAAGTTGCTGCTTCTTCAACAGGGAAGTTTATAGTGACTCATAATCTTTATTTTCTTAGTCTCACTCTTCTCTCTCTTAATTATGAGTGTGAGCCATCACTGTATTTTCAACTGATGTAGGTTATTTGTGCAAAGGATCATCGGCGTAACTTTGTGTTGAACATTGGGGGTATCAGGGTCCTGGGTCTCCTG